ATTAAAAGAAATTAATCAAGCTCTTTGCAATCTTTGATAATTGCAATCGGATCATCTGACGTGAGACAAGTTTCAAGTAATAACTATTAATACAGGTTCAACCCTTGTTTAAAGAGAGTTTGAGAATCTCAAATAATTAATAAACTGAAATAATATGTTATATAATTCTTTAAATAAAGAAGATAAAATATTAATATACTTTAAGTATGATACATTATTCTTTGTTGTTCGTGAGACGAATTCCTGGGGCCCGATGCTTGACGATGTACGAATGAGATACGCATGCGAAAATCTACAGTATACGTAACGTGAACTATACATTTTCGCATGCGTATCTCATTCGCATACCGTCAAGAATCGAGCTTTTGATCTGCTCATCATGAGACTGTAAGAGCAAGAGCAAGAGCAGACCATAGAATATTACAGTTAGATGGAAGATTATACTATTCTCTCCGGTCCAGATCTCACTTGCTCTACTCTCGTTATCGTAAGCACCCACTGTCAGTACTTTTAGCACTATTTCGGAAGGCAGCCTATAATTACCGGCCATAATGTTTCTAGTAATAGAGTGCATCCGGAGGAGGAATCTGAACACAGCCTAAGATGATCTTAAATATAAGATCTGACTATGAATACCGGCCTATGTCCAGTCTTAATTCAAGACCGTCTTATGCCCAATTTCTTCACCTCCGGTTAACTTTGTCTGCCAGTTATTCTATTGGAATTGACCAATCATATTTATGGTTGACAAGATTAACCAATCACGGTTGACATTTATCCGACAGATAAAGTTAACCGGAGGTGAAGAAATTGGGCATTAAGGCCCAGTTTCACAATCTCCGTTTAACTTTAACTACCGATTAAGTCTCAGTGATTGGTTAATTCTGATTAACTCTTCTTAACGGTAAATGCGACTGTTCAAGTCCAATGGAATAATCGGTCAGTTAAGTTAACTTGAGGCTGTGGAACTGAGCCTAAGTAATATCTTAAGATGTGAATATGGCTCTGTGATTGGTTTATGACATCTTAAAACAGTACTTAAGATAATCTTAAATATAAGATCTAACTATGAATTCCGCCCTATGACCGTATTGTATACTATCCCTAAGCGCTCTAGGATAAGGTCCGTTTGGCGCTGCGAGTGCTTCAGCACGACGGATAGACCAATCGTATTGCTTTATTTGATGCTTCGAAGCATATGCAATGTCGAACGGACCTTGTTCCTAGTTCGATTCAGCAAAAATGTCCGCGACTAGGGATTTTTAATAATAGCCTCGAGCAATTTCGGGCAGTGGCCTTCGTTGACATCGTCACCCTGCGACCGACGATTAACGCGGCTCGCTGTATGTTATTAATGATTAACCGGGCGTTTTAAAACAATTGTAGTATTATTACGTCATCGTGCGCTGTGTTCGCGTACGCGCTAGTGTTAACGGTAGTTTCGTGGTGCTGCCGCTTTTTTTTCGACCGCGCCGGTTTCTCATAGTCGTCATCGTCGTCGTCGCTGCCGCCGTCGTCGTCGTCGTCGCTGCCGCCGTCGTCGTCGTCGTCGTGGTCGTTAACGTCGTTGTCGCCGTCTCGTCGATCGCGCATCACACTTTGGTTAGGAAGAGGGAGATTGATTCCGGCGATGGGAAACGTCCATACCTGCGGCCCGAACGAGGCGCTCGTCGTGTCAGGTATGTGTGTGTGCTCTGAATTTTTTGACGCCCGTCAATTCACACACGCGCTGCCTCAAGCACTGCGACATGTGATTTCGGAGCTGCTTTGCTTGACGTGTCGGAGATATCGGTCTGTCATCGTCACGTTATCCAGTGACGATTGATTGATTAATGGCTTCTCTTACGCTAAGTAAAAAGATTTGAGCTCGCGCCCGTGCAGCTCACCTCGTAAGACATTTGGAAGTTTTATCTAGGGAAAACAAAGAAAGATATGGAGTGATACTGTGATGCCATCAGAGATTACTGTAATTAAATGGCATAGGATGTATATTCTGCGGAAAAAAGGTCGAGAGTTGGCGTTATGTAGATAAAAGTCAGACTATAAAAAGATGGTTTGAAGAATTAGGAAGCGACATAGTGAGGAAAAGTAGAAAAGGATCTGGAGTGATGAGTTAAATGAGGTAAAAGGCAATATTTTGAGGAAACTGTAGAAAGAGAGACAAGAGATTGAGCAATTAAAGAGAAAAAAAGATAGAAGTAAGGGTAAAAATGTGTAAGATGTTAAGAGATTATGATGAAGATGTAAAAAAGTCGAGAAGTAACAGTACAATGTTGTGATAGTAGATAGGTAAATTGGAATAAGATAGAAATAGATTGGGTAATGTAATGACCGTGATAAATGGGTAATAGTAACAAATAAATGTAACAATTAACAGTACAAGTAAAAATGATAAGTAAAAGAATAAAAATTGCAAAATGTACAGATTGTAACTGCTGTGATATTAGGATAAAATGCAAGTAGAAAAATATAAGACGTAAATAAGTGAGCGTAGTTAATGTTTTGCAAACCAAGTTGCTTTAGCAATGTGGCTGAAATCATAAAATATGAAATTAAGTGGGAGGGGGATATTCATTGGAAAAGAAGAAGAGGAAACTTATTTTTTGTATCTCTTGCATCTGATCCAATTTCTGGGGAAATAAATTTTCCAAGTGTATAAGGTCACTATTTGCTAAATTACTAGAACTCTGTAATTCCGGAAAATGATAATGTGAACTTCGAGGCGATAAAATACAGACGTGTTTATTTATTAATTTTCATTATCTCGAGATTGTTTTCCTATGTGAGATTGTGCGATTAGATACTCTTTACCTCGAATCTTGTGACGATTCTATCGTCCTCGAAAGTTTTCTTGAAAGTCGTCTTGCTAAAATGAATAACTCTTAGATCGCGGCCGCTTGCTCAAGCTAACGAGCTAACAGCTCAGCTTACATCGCGTATATCACTGTCAGATGACGCACTGCAGATTAGTGGGTCTCTTTCAGTACATCATGCACGTCCACATTTGATTGTAACAATTTATCTTATTACTATTAGGATTCAGCATATTATCATGAATCTAGACTTTTTAATATATTGCAAAAGCAGTTTGCCGGCAGAAATAACATGTTACGAGATGAAAAATCTGTTAAAATCATATATTGAAGATAATAGTTATGTAACATTATGTACACGTGAGAGGAAGTTAACAATGATCACATCATTCAGCCATTCTGCGCAACAATTTTGTAATTAAGTCTTGTATATGCAACACGTAAAATGTTTTTCAAGTATGTATGAATATTTACTTAGTATGACGTTTCAAGAAATAATTGGAAACACGCTATTTTTTGCTGCGTACGATACGCTCAAATTGATGTCATGAGATCTGCGAGAAACAGTTTCTTCGATTTTAAAAACTTCTTTTAAAAACGTAGCAAAACATTTTTCCTCTAGAATTTCGAGCGTTATATTCGCGTCGCGCCGATTTTGCTGGGAAATAGGCGGGAAGAGGAATTATGACTCATCTCCCCCTTTTACGTCACGACTTAAACGTACCGTTGACAGGCAATAGCATCGTCTGTTATTGGATGATATTCAATTTGTGTTTTTCTCGCTTCTAATCGTTTCTCCCATCATCAATTTACTTGCGAGCATTTGCGAACATGTAGCACACAATATAGTGTAAAAACGCATGCAATTCTTGTGATTAAAAAATTGTGTCAGTGGCATCGGTACGATCGATACGGCCGGCCGTGTAGAATAAATATCCTTGAGTGGCAATCATTCTACTATGCGCACTATGTTAATGTTTACTGCTGGCTATAACAGCAGTAATAAGTCGGTAATAACTCGAGTTTGATGCTGATGGTGTGCTTGAAAAATGGTTCCATAATATAAATTGTTGACTCGCAAAAAGAGAGAAGGGAGAGGGAGATAGAACGAGCGAACGAGCGAACTCCTAAAACTTTTGATCGATTTGGACTAACTCTTGCATAATTATTTTCGAAGTTTCTGCGGGAAATTTAAACTACCTTATGAAAATTGAACACTGTACTCTCTCTTCTTTCACCCTTTTGACATTTTGTGTCAACGGACAACGCGAGGTAGAAATAGAAAGACAGAGATAGAGAGATACATACACGGAGAGAAGAAATATATCTAAAAAAATCTTTTTTAATATTTATATTTGGTGTACTAATAACATATTTACTAAACCTAAATCTTTTTATTTAAATAAAATAAACAATAGTTTTTATGAGAAGCTATAGTTTTAAGAGAATGTATATTTCCTTATTTGAAAAATATTTCCTCAGTATAAAAATATATACATTAATATACGTAAATATGTTACTCACTGAACAAATATTTCTTTTATTTCTTAGATATTTTTCCTCTTACATAGTGTATATCGATATAATCGCGCTTGCGCTACATTTACACTGCAAGGAATATCAGAACTGCGTTGTCTTGTAGAATCTCTGTGTGCGATCGCTTGTGATTTGCGTCGATATCGGAAGTAAAAGTTGCATGAGAATTACTCTTCAACTTAGCAGCGTACTTCGCACATTCGTATTTGCGTGAGTTCGTCATTCGACAGTCGATAACACTTTGAACTTTCACATTCCGGATTCCAAGATTACATGTTATCCGGCTTTTTGTTGATAGTTTGTATATACGTCGAGTAGGGACCCGCACACACATCACACACGCACACACACACACACACACACGAATGAAGATACACATGCCGCGCTTAGGCGCACCTCTTTTTATACTTCAGAAAAGACATAATAATAGAGAAACGTATTCAGCATATTCAGTAATGGTCGAGCAATTGCTGTAAATAATAGTAGAAAAAGATTAATATTAGAGTAAAACGTCCAGTAGCCGGCATTCGTTTTCAGCACTTGTTTTCGGCATTTTTTTTCGAATTTCATCAAGTATTAAAATGCATGAGGATTTATTAATTATTTTCCAATTACTTAGTAATTATTATATATTATTTGTTTATTGGTTTTCTTTTAAATCCTCGTATATCTAATAATATCCGCGCAAGATGTGTTGAGAACAGATAGAGTGTCGACTATTAGACGTTTATTCCTATTATAACATGACTTGTCGCTACTGTGTATTTTAGTCCTGGAAAAATCGACGTAAAGTTGTCCATTAAAATCGCCGGAATTTCTCTCCTAGAGAGAACGGGACGATATATTTTCACAATTTCACATATTTTTCACATTTTTTTTTTTAGTTCACGATGATTATGTCGTTTTCTGTTTTACTCCCAACAAAATTCCCCAAGTTTCTTTGTACGTGTAGTGTCTCATTCCGCACTCTTCCAAGTTTCCTTAATCATGTCCGCGGCTTTCTCGCCGATCATATAAATACCCGCGTTTACGTGACCGTTGGGTATTGTGGGCATAATCGAGGCGTCTGCCACTCGTAGCCTTTGAACGCCGTACACCTTCAGCTGCGGATCTACAACCGCGTAAGGATCCGTCTGCGGTCCCATTTTCACGGTTCCTACTTCATGATTCATCATAGATGGCAGATGCTTGATGGCGCATCTCCAGTAATCGTCGGAAGCGAACTCGAACTGTCGGCAGCCTGGTATTTTAAGGTTGTGCAGTCGGCTGCCGTAAGCCTGGAAAGCCTCGGTCTTAGAAATGTTGATAGCGTGTTTCACTCCCTCCAGGATGATCTCGAGGTCCGCCGGATGGCTGAAGAAGTTCGGATCCATCTTGGGCGGATCGAACGGGCTTTTCGATTTTAATGTGAGACGGCCGATGCTTCTTGGATATTGGACGATGGGCCAGATTGACCAGGCGTCTTTACCTTCGATAGGCTTAAAAACCGCATTGTACACGTCATCTGTGATTCTCAGGGCCTTCTTCAGGATTATGCCGTTGTCCGAGTGTATGGAACCGGATACGAATAGGAGCTCGATGTCCGGTTTCTCATCGATAGCGTACTTAGTCTTAATGAATGCCAACGCCTCGGCGCCACCTGGTACTGTCATTATACCGTCCTTCAATAGAAAATATTCCAGCGCCACGCTGGGAGTGATTCTGCTTTGCAACAGAGACACGCTCTGGTTTACCAGGAAAGTCAGTCCCAGGAAACCGATGTGCTCGTACATATTGTAGCCGACCTTGGAGTCCTGTATTATCGGGATATCCAGTTCCTCCAAATGATCCTTGGGCCCGATCCCCGAAAGCATCAGCAATTTGGCTGAGTCGATCGTACCGGCCGAGAGTACGACTTCCTTCGTACTTAACACTTGCTTTGACATGCCGTTTTTGACATATTCGACACCGTATGCGCGCTTTTTGTCGTCAATTAGCACTTTCGTCACCCTAGCGCCGGTAATGATGTTCAAATTCGGGCGATCGATTATGTCGAGGTAAGCCCTGGCCGCGCTGCAACGCGTTCCGTGGTCCATGTTCACCTGAATATATGAGAAACCTACTTGATTCTGGCCGTTATAGTCCACGACGTCATAGCCGAGCTCTTGACCAGCTTTCAGGTATGCGGTCGCCAGCTTCGTGTGGTAGGGCGCGTGTTCTACACACAGATAGCCGTCTTCATTGTGATACGCGGAGTTCTTGACACCTGAATACATAAGAACTTGAATTATATATCGTCAACAAGCCCTAGTTTCTCACGCGTACAGTTTTTCTCTCAACCTAGGAAGATTTAGGGCCGATTTTTCCGATCTCTTGGTAAGGGAGAACAGACACGTATGATTTAACTGTCAGTTAGTTAGCTTACCAAAAAGTTGGAAAATCGGCCCCTAGAAGGAACAGTCGTTCGGTATCATGCAAAACGAACCTACCTGATACTTTGAACCTTTCGCTTTTCTTAAAATACGGGAGAACATCCATGTAGGACCAGCCGTCGTTGCCTAGACTAGCCCATGTGTCATAGTCGTGCTTGTTACCGCGCGTGTGAATCATGTAGTTCAAAGTACTCGTTCCGCCTAAGGCCCTGCCACGTGGCCAGGAGCACTGCTGATTGATCATTCCTAAACAAGCGTCCTTCTGCGGCTCTACATTGTATCCCCAGTTGTAATCGGTTAATTGGAAATAACCAACCATTATCGGGATCCTGTTGAGTAGGTTTTGCTGGAATCCCGCTTCCAATAACAGGATCTTCCATTTCCTATTCTCCGACAGACGATTAGCTATCGCGGATCCTGCCGATCCGGCTCCTACAACGATGAAGTCGTACTTCTCGCTACTCGTGAATCCAGAATTTTCTTTGACTGGTTGGACGTAGTTTTTAACGATGTCCAGGAAAGTATAACCGCTACAAACCGAAGCGGTGGTGATGATGAGTGTCAGCAGAATCCTCATACTGTACTGTAATGTTCAACTGTAACGTTCTGTAATGCAATGGGGCTTCAGACAGGTTTCTTATATAGGGACGATATATCGCGAGTAATCGCATTCCGTGTGTTAAATATTTTCATTGAAGTCACGTATCCTCAAACTGAACGAGTGGCTGTTATGTGTGCGAAGAGCTATTTTTAATCGGTTTTTTAAGATAAAAAGTTTTTAAAAATATTAAGGAATAATATTGAATTTGACACATATAATATTGAATATTGTGACGCATATATAATATTAAATATTGAATATTATATAATATTGAATTTGACGCATAACAAAATTTAAAGAATTTAATATTAGAAAAATATTTAATTTAAGAAGACATATCTAGTATGCGTGCAAAAAACGCATAAATGATCATATAAATATTACACAAAATATCTCCTAACGTATCTTGTATCTATGAAAAAAATGATGAATGATGAAAAAAACATATAGCAAGTTTTTTTGGTAATTAGAGGCGTCTCTTGTAGATTTCAAGATCTATAAGTGGACGAAACATTTCGAAACTTCCGTATTCATTTGTCAACCGTGGATCTTCGTATGAATATATTAACATTGGCAACGTATGAATATATTAACATACACAACAAGATGGCTATGATTGGCTACAATCGATCCGCTCTGTTTAGTCTAAATACTAGAGACAGAAATAAATATACACTATTTAACTTTAATTTATATAGTTTATTCTTTTCTTTCAGCTGCACTGCTGCTGAAAATTAAGCCATAATGGCATTAATATTACGGCTGATATGTTTTCAACATATTTTATGCGTACATATTACTGAACGCATTGGAACTCGTACATTTTTTGCTTAAGTAATTGTGATTGATTGTAAAATAGGCAGATGTTCTGCAAGATTTGCAATAATCTCTCTAAAAAAGGTTATGTTATAAAGGTTTTCCCAAGAAATCTAAAACGTCAACGTCTAATGGACGCACCCTTTATTTTGACATTAATGTCATTTTTTTATGCATTTTGATATCATTTCCATCTCTATATTTTTAATTATTTTTCTATTCTAATTTTGTTTATTGCTATATTGCATTAGAAAGACTTTTTAATAATTTAGTTCATAATAATATATAATAATTAATCTCAATGAGAAAAAAAATATTTATTATTGCAAAAACATACTAAATTAATATTTTATAACTATCATTTTAAATAAAGAGGATTGTTTTTTCATATTTCGTTTTATTTTATTTATTTTACTTCATTATGTCACTTTATTTATTTATTGTAAATAAATTATAAAATAGTAATAATTATATACAAAACATATTGATAAATTAGTAATATGGTTATATAAAATAAAATTTTGTAAATATATTATTTTTTGTAACTATCCAATTTTGCATTTTAATATAAGTAGATAATAAAGTAGATTATAAAAAATTATAATTATAATGACAAAACTACTTATTATTAGCTTTGAAACGTTTACTTTTTAAAAATTGTGTTACAATTTAAGATTAATTTAATTTATGTATTTGAAATTTGAAAATCAACAGGAACACACTAAAAATGATCGACCAATCAAAAGTGGCCTTTTCGTGACTAATCTCTGATTATAGTATCTCTAATTGACGTATGTTAATGACATCTTTTATGATATATCCTTTAACGAAAATTTTTCCAAATTTCTATGAAAAAATAGATGTTATCGTCCTCGAGATGAATGAAACAAGTCATGAAATTTACTCTGTATGTACGCACCATAATCCCGTTTCTGGCATGCGCGTGAACGTAACGTACATGTCGCAATTACTTTCTCAGATCTTTTTCACGTGCTTATATGCGATGAGATGTACTTGGGGGCTCTGAAGTTGCATAATCTCTTTGTAATTTCGTAATACATACCGTTCGAGATTTTAACAGGTCACCAGAACGTCGTTTTTTACGTTTGATTGGTCCACGGTCGCCCTTCTTGCGCACAGCCGGCTGTGAGGATGTTGCCTTTGACGCGGTATAACGACTTCTCCGTCGTTCTTCAGGTGTCGACCACTTTCCGTTTGAACCTACCAGAGAAATACACTTTCTCGCTCACGTAATGCTCACTTAACCGCCTTGTAATGTCCAGTTTGTATTCGTATCGAGAACCCCTCCTTCAGCTACCGCACTTTATATGCTGAAACTCTTTATAACCCCCTTTATGTATACTACTTGCATCTGTCCTACGTGCATTGAGACATTGAGATCGATATCGTGTTGTTAATAGTTGGAAATATAATTAGTCTATTATCAATCTATGTATTAAGGTGAATCGTACATCGTCGATGTGTAATATTTGTACAAATTCTTCACGATACAAAAACCCGATATTTTATAAAATTTTATGCGGCTTTATTGTAAAACAGTAATACACTTTTTTTATTACAAATATATAAAACAGAAGAAAACCACGTAAGTGGCGTTAACGAATAAATTGACAAAATATAAATATTTTTTTCCATATTTACGTGAAGATTTCTCTGGCCTACTTTTAACCTCTGTTTAAAACTGTCAGTGTGTACTCGAAACTTTTTATATAACGTCCCGAATATGCACCATAAAATCAGCTTACTTGAACTTACGAACTTTCATTATTTCGCACATGATCTCACGAGAGAGTGTATCATTAAATGGAATAATATTTTAGATATGAAATAAATATAAATAAATAAATAAATATATTAATAAATATGTATATTTATTTATATATTTAAATTTAGTTTATATCTAAAATGTTACTCACATTATATACACTGTAAAAACTGATGTGTTAAATTTAATATTTCATGTATCCTAAATCATCCACTTTCATTTATGTGTAAATTTAACACAAAACAAATGTGGTAAAAAGTAATACTCATAATATGTAACAAATTTACACAAGAATTTAACACTTGAATACTGTCAGGAATCACAGTTTTTGTTAAATTGACATATGTATAATGTTAAATTAACTAAAATAAAACGTTACTTTAATAAAATGTTACTTTAATATTTGAGAAAAATATTAATCTATGATTTTGATGAGATGAAAATGTTAAATTGACATGATCTATGTCTGACATATTAAGTATGTCAATTTAATACAACCTGTGATTTCTAACAGTATTCAAGTGTTAAATTCTTGTGTCAATTTTTTCCATATTATGTGTGTTACTTTTTAATACATTTATTTTGTGTTAAATTTACACATAAATAAGAGTGAATGATTTGGGATACATGAAATGTGTTAAATTTAACACATCAGTTTTTACAGTGTATATATATACTTATATATATATATATATTGAATATAGTATTAATTAAAATAAAACAAACAACCTCCCTTGCAGAACAGTGAACACAGAATTTCGCTTAGTCTTTGCAGTCCACGCACGATCGACTCTTATATATCTGCTTACATAACGACTTTTCGCCCCTCCTCCCAAGAATTTTTAGTATCCTACGTGTTTCTCATTTAAATACCATATATTAGATGTGGTAATCAATTATCAAAGCGATTTTTACGCAATGTGAAAGAATATCTTAAAAGTTCACTTTATCTAAATCCTTCAGTGTATGTAAAAAATTGCAATTATTTTATTAGGATCATGAATTCTCGGAGTATCTTCATTTATTCTTGATTATATTAATTAGTTTCTCGACGATCACGAAAACTAAATATGGGTAAAAAATTTATCCAGACCAACTTTTCAAACGTTACTGTTCTTAAAAATATGTATTTTGTTTTGTCACTAAAACTTCTTTTATCACATCAAATCGTAAAAACATTAAAGGCCTATTGTCCCACCTTCTTTGTAAGCTACGAAAACAAGTTTTATGTTCGCCGATAGAATCTCAAGTAGCATATACTAGTATCATATACTAGTGTGCCATTCGCTCAACGTGGTTCTCTGACATCGACCTGTTGTAAAATATTATGTATTAATTCTAAATCTCTCTCTCTCTCTCTCTCTCTCTCTCTCTCTCTCTCTCTCTCTCTCTCTCTCTCTTCTCTCTGAATATTAGCAAGTTATGTAAAAGTTGCGTAAAATCTAAACATGAATAAATTTTACCCAGTATATTTTTATTTGCTTATGACTTTTGGAAAGAATTATTGAAATTTAATTATTTTTTTCGATGTACAAAATATCGAGGGATAGGAATCTATTAGGGCCGATTGTTCCAACTTCTTGGTAAGCTACCTGACAGTTAAATCATATATTATATATCTTCCTTTTTTTCCTCAAATTGGACACAGATAGACACATGATTTAACTGCTAGGTAGCTTACAAAGAAATTGGAACAATAGGCCTTTAATGTTTTTACAATTTGATGTGATAAAAGAAGTTCTAGTGACAAAACAAAACACATATTTTTAAGAACAGTAAATATGTATTTTGTTTTGTCACTAGAACTTCTTTTATCACATCAAATCGTAAAAACATTAAAGGCCTATTGTCCCACCTTCTTTGTAAGCTACGAAAACAAGTTTTATGTTCGCCGATAGAATCTCAAGTAGCATATACTAGTATCATATACTAGTGTGCCACTCGCTCAACGTGGTTCTCTGACATCGACCTGTTGTAAAATATTATGTTTGAAAAGTTGGTCTGGATGAATTTTTTACCCATATTTAGGATTTTAGAGTTAACTGGAAAATAGTTAAATAACTTGCATACTCTAATGCGCCTCGGTGTCAATGCACACTTGCAAATAAGGCCCGATCTACAATAGATGGAGTAAGGAATAGCAGTAGGAGTAAGACGAAATGGAAATAATTTATTTCGCTTAGGCCCGATCTACAATAAAGTTTGTCTGTCTACATCACATGGAGTAAGCCTGAATTAAGTAGTAAGAGTTGGAGTAAGGGAGTAAATAAATTATATTAGATCGGGCCTAATACTCGCTGCGAGTATCTTTAATATGAAGTCGAAACACGTAGGATACTAAATATGGGTAAAAAATTCATCCGGACTAACTTTTCAAATGTTACTGTTCTTAAAAATATGTGTTTTGTTTTGTCACTAGAACTTCTTTTATCACATCAAATCGTAAAAACATTAAAGACCTATTGTTCCAACCTCTTTGTAAGCTACCTAGCAGTTAAATCATGTGTGTATCTCTTGAGGAAAATTCCAATTTGAGGAAAAAACGAAGATATATACAGGGTGTAACAAAAGTATCAGTACTCCTAAATAAATTTCCAGGATCGTATTTTCCGAGAAAATCATTCAGACAAAAGTTGCATAGTTTTGACCTAGCGATTCGATGGTGACCTTGTCTTTGACCTCGAGGTCATTTTTCGAAGTCATTTCAAGGTCAACTTTTTTTTTTTAATGGAAACCCCCATTTTTTATTCCAGAATCGGAAAGAGCGGAAAAATTTACATTCAGATATGTATTTGACCCATGGGTCCAAGGGACCCCTCAAGGTCATTTCAAGCTCACATTATTTGAGCATAGTAATGAATCACGAGGCAGGTGGCTTGGTGAGAAACGTTTTAGACAAAAGATTTAAGGTTTTGACCAAGCGATTAGATGGTGACCTTGTCTTTGACCTTGAGGTCATTTTTCGAGGTCATTTCCGTTTAAAAGTTCATAGTTGACCTTGAAAAGACTTCTCAGGATGTGTCAAAGGTCGAAGTCAAGGTCACCAACGAATATCCCGTTCGAAACCCTACAACTTTCGTCCAAAACATTTATCTCGAACATTAAAAAAAAATTGACCTCGAAATGACCTCGAAAAATGACCTCGAGGTCAAAGACAAGGTCACTATCGAATCGCTAGGTCAAACCTATGCAACTTTTGTCTGAATGATTTTCTCGGAAAATGCGATCCTGGAAATTAATTTAGAAGTACTGATACCTTTGTTACACCCTGTATATGATTTAACAGGTAGCTTACCAAGAAGTTGGAACAATCGGCCCTAATAGATTCCTATTCCTCGATATTTTCTACATCGAAAAAGTTTTAGCAGTAGGATCTTCCATTTTGCGTGTATTGGAGTGGTGGTACAGTGTCATCGTCATTATTCTCACTGTACACTTTCAGTAAGCATCGGAATCGAACTTTTTATATTCGCGAAGAGTATTATGTGCTAATTGCGAGCCAAAGTTTATACATTTATCATGTTTATCGAGGCTCTTATATCGACGACTTAGGTCTTGACGTTCTTAACATTGTCGAAGTATTTTGGTAACATTGACACCGTTAGCCAACAAATTTTCCCAACCGCGACTTTTTGTTTCAATAGTATCAGAGTTGTCCAATCGGAAAAACCGAAGTACTGGTAGCACATCTGACGTACTTCGGGATCTCTTGAGCGAGTTTGGTTCTGCCATGCTTTCTGTAGATGCTTGATGTAGTGTGATTTCATTGTAGAGCCATTCGATTGTGCGAGAATATCAGGCTGATCTTACCGATGATACTAAGAAGCTACAGAATACATAGAAACTCATTTAAATGCTAACTAATTTTTTAACCTTTTGAATGTCATAACTGCTCACAAATTGTAGCTGCCAATTAAGCGTTAACATAAATAACAACTAATTGCACGTTGATGCATAACTCGCTGCGTCATAGAGTTCTAACATACAATTAAATAAGTCTAAGTTATTGTCTAATTTATGTAAATGTATGAACACGTCTATCATTCGTAGAAAACGTAATCTGTGGCACTTCCGAGATCATAGAGTGTAGCTGGAAAATGGTGTATAAAATTTTACTTTGGTGAAATCGTAACTATATAACAGGATGACGCAAAAGAAGGAAACTGGTTTAAAAAATTAACTTTTCCAATGTAATTTTTCTTTTTTTTTTTTATTTTTAAATCTTATAAAGGAGATCAGGGCAAATAATCACGAAAAGATACACGATTGCCCAATGAACAAAAATCATAGAATTTTATTTTCAAAGAATACTTTCGAGTTGATGTGTAGTTGTGGGTTCTCCTCGACACTTTCCCATATACGTTGAATATTCTCTTCACTTCAGGCAGTGGTCTTCCGATTTTTGGCAGATCCTCTACTGAACCCTGCTGCTGAAACCGTTCCACCAATCGTTAATTTCCACTAGTCATGAGAATGAAATGTAGATTTCTTACATTGAAATGGCGGCAATAGTCTCGTTGTGTCTGTATTATCGAATGTTGATTTTGAAAATTCTATGATTTTTGTTCGCTGGGCAATTCGCTGGGTATCTTTCCATAATTATTTTTCCTGATCTCCTTTATAAGGTCTGAAAAGAAAAAGGAAAAGAAAAATTAAATTAAAAAAGTTATGAATTTCTTAAAAACCAGTTTGCTTTTTTTGCGTCACTTTACACACACACACACACACACACACACACACACACACACACACACACACATTAAAATTTATATTTTTAATGTAATAATCTACCTTGTTTTTAAACAAATAGAGATTCACTATATTGTTTTAAGTATAAAAGAGTTGAGAAACGTTTTTTCATATATAATATGTTTTGATATACAATATAATTAATTATATACACAGAAGTTGATTCTCATACTATTAATGTATAGAATTTATTATATTTGATTTCCTATTTTTGTGTATAAGTACATAAATACATTTGTAACATAAAATTGTACTTTTTTAACATATTTATGTATCTTTTTGCACGAATCTCAACTTTTTTAACATGTTTATGTATCTTTTTACACATCTTATTACAACTTATTACATCTTATTACACTTTTTTTATTAAAAAGATGTGAAATTTTCATACTACTTTAATAAGATCAAATTTGGGTTGTGATAGAAGAGACATGATATGTTTAATACGTAAAATTTTTCTTTTTGTAAAATTAATACGGCGGTCATTTTTATAAATCAAATATTTCACCGTAAAAATACTCATATACACAAGCATACAAAACACGTACGTGTATGAAGAAACTGAACGGTTCCGTTTAATCGATATGATCATTGAAACGACAACAAAATACTTTAAAAGTTGTTGTGAAAGTGTAACGTAAAAGGTTGACTTATAGCAGAGCTCGGCATGCGTAACACATTTCGGCTAATTTTCGACTCTTGCTCCGCCTAGTATTAGTTCCTTTCATCACCTCGCAACCTACGCGCCGCTCGAAAGCAAGAGTCGAAAATCGGCCTAAATGTGCAACGTGTGCCGAGCTCTTATGTGAAAGAATACCATAAAAATACTTTAAATGATATTTTCCACAGCTCCGTGTTATATTCATTATTACATATTACACACTCTCTATTCGCGTTTTAGGTCTCTTATAAAAGTACAAGAATGGCCGCTAATATAAAGTAATAATAAGTTATTAATATAGTCAACAAGTTATTAATATAGTAACAACAAGTTATTAATATAGACGTTACATTTTGTTATATCCCCATTCTTCTTTGATCATGTCTACCAGTTTTTCGGCAATCATATAAACAGGTATATTCGTGTGGCCTGATATAATCTCCGGCATGATAGATGCGTCAGCCACTCGTAGACCTTGAATACCAATAACCTGAAAAACATATGTTATTAAGAAATCAATATATAGAATGTCTCACATTCTCCTCCGAGCATTTTGTGGTAGAACAGGTTACGATGAACAAAAGTCCTATACCGTTTTGCGATATTCGCGATAATTATCGAGATATTAATTGTAGAAAATTTGTGAATGATCATGCAGGATATGGTAAATGAGTTATAATAGCGACGACTGTTGTCGTGTACTTATACTTTAGGACAAATTGAACAAAAAAGTCCTCTACCATTTTGCAAATAATTACATAGATTTTTAATGATTAATTAAAGAAGATGAGTGCATTATCACGCAATAATCTTCTTTAATTAATAATTAAAAATCTATGTGTTTATTTGGAAAATGGTAGAGGACTTTTTTGTTCAATTTGACTTAAAGTATAAGTACACAACGGCAGTCGTCGTTACTCATTTACCATATTCTGCATGATCATTTACAAGTTTTCTACAATTAATATCTTGATAATTATTGCGAATATCGCAAAACGGTATAGGACTTATATGTTCATCTTAACCTGTTCTACGTTCCCATAAAATTCCCGGAGGAGAGTGTGAGACACCCTGTATATACACTGTAAAAACTGATGTGTTAAATTTAACATTTCATGTGTCCCAAAGCACTCACTCTCATTTATGTGTAAACTTAACATAAAACAAATGTGATAAAAAGTAACACGCATAATATGTAAAAAATTAACACAAGAATTTAACACTTCAGTACCGTCAGGAATCACAATTTGTGTTAAATTAACATATATATAATGTTAAATTAACTAAAATAACGTTACTTGAACATTTGAAAGAAGTATTAATCTACGGTTTTGATGAAATGAAAATGTTAAATTGACATAATCTATGTCTGACATATTAAATATGTCAATTTAACACAACCTGTGATTCCTAACGGTATTCAAGTGTTAGATTCTTGTTTTAATTTTTTCTATATTATGCGTATTACTTTTTAACACATTTGTTCTGTTAAATTTACACATAAATAAGAGTGTATGATTTAGAACATATGAAAGGTATTAAATTTAACACATCAGTTTTTACAGTGTGTATATATATATATATATATATATATATATATATATATATATATATACACACACTGTAAAAACTGATGACTTATATATATGTATATATATATATATATATAAATGCATGAACACACTGAGAGAGAGAGAATGAGAGAGAGAGAGAATGAGAGAGAGAGAGAATGAGAGAGAGATGGAGGGGG